TTAGGGCCTGCTTCTACCAGTAACTGACCCCACCTCTTTAGTAGAAATGTCCTCGCTAACATCGGCTAAGAATAACTAGTTATTCTTCCCAAGAATAACCAGTTATTTTCCCAAGAATAACCAGCTATCTTCCCAAGAATAACCAGTTATCTTCCCAAGAATAACCAGTTATCTTCCCAAGAATAACCAGTTATTTTTCCCAAGAATAACCAGTTACTTTCCCAAGAATAACCAGTTATGTGTCCCAAGAATAACTAGTTCTGATTCCCAAGGATAACTAGGTATTTGTGCCAAGGAGCAATGATTAGATTCCAAGAATGTCGGCTTTCTATCCCAATAGGCATTAGCTACTTCTCCCAAGAATGCTAGTTATCTGACTCTGAAGCAGTCTGCGTCACGATATCCAGGAACTCCGAAGGGTACTTGGTCTTAACGACCTCGAAAGCAAATCCTGACACAAAGCCATTGCAGATGTTCGTAACTTCTTTCCGAACTCCTTCATAATATCTCCATCCATAGCCATACTGGGCTCTGCTGTTGCCCGAGCAGAGATGGATTTCACTTCAGCTTTCGAAGATGTTGATTCGCCTGCGGATGTCTTTGTGAGTGGTGCGGCTACACTTGCTGCTGACTCCGACTTCTTATCAGCATTTTCTTCTGGGGAAGAATCGGCAGCTGAAGCCGAGGACATATCTGCATTGCAAGGGGTCCATGAGGTGATACAACAGGAAATTGTGCAAGTAGAATCCACTCCTCAACAGCTGGTACCGACAAGAGAAGTAGCTGGTGGCCATCGCAAGTACTCCATGGCTGGGAGAGTCGGCCGAGGTCGGCACGGAGAGGCGGTGGAGAGATCGAGCTTATGTGCACATATGAGGTCTGAGAAAAGAGCCAAGAAATCCTTCAATGAGAGTGCTGCAATCGCACAGGCTCTGCAGGATTCCGTGATTGTAAAACAGGGAGCATCTTATCACTTGTCTGTGAAGCCTGGCGGCGCTTGTGGTATGAAGGTGATCTTGAAGAAAGGTCAGACGAAGGGGAATCGATTCGTGCGTAAAATACATTTCAGTAAATTTATCAAAACTTCCTTTGGTATGAATACCAATAACGTGGCATTGGCAGCAATGATGGACATGGATGCATCGACTGTTCCGAGACTACAGAAGACCGTTGCAGGGGTTTTCATGGCTTCACAATCCAGAATGCTCGCCCGCTTGTGTGCCTATTGCCAGGCCAATCCTCCAACTTGTTGCCATCATCATGTGAAGTGGGACGAAACGACTGTGTCTACATCGTTGAATCCGGGTGGCGAGAGTGCAACTGTGAAGAGTGCATGGTCTGTGCTGGTGGTCCGAGCCCGGATGCTAATATCCTGGTCTAGTGGAGCGACGGTATACCTGCGACTTGTGATGCCGACGATACCACTCATGAGTAGTGCTGCAGATCAGGTATTCTACGGATTGGAATATCACCCGAGCTTTTTCACAATCAATCGTATGGTCAAGCTGCTTCAGAAATCTTCAGAGCTTGCAGCTACCCTCCACGAGGTGGACGGGGCATACTCCAACATCAGACTCCACCACCACTACCTCGCACAGCCTGCTTTTGACCCCTCAGGGACTCCGAAAGGCAGCTTCCTCGCATCGGCCCGCTGTCAGTCTCATGCCACCCATCTTATATCAGTTTCTATGCTGAGCTTGATTGGTTCGAATCTGCTGAACAGATACTACGGCCTGACTGTATTCATGCGGAACTTGGGGTACCTGCTTCGTCTTCAGATAGCACTCCAACAATGGCTTCAGGAGCCGGGGTTTTGAGTTTGCACGTGTAGCAGAGAAGGGTTTCCGTTCTAATGTGTTGGTTTAGTGTTGGTGTGGGTTGTTTCTAGGTTCTAGATTCTAGAATATTTTTTTCGTGGGATATTTAGGCTGGAGTGGTTATAGTTATTATTTATTATTTATTATATTTTATATTTTGATAGGATCTATATCAATTCAGAATTTTCTTGTGAGCTGCTATGCTTCATCCAACAAACCCTAGGACAAGTTGATACTGCAGGGCCCTCGAGATCCTTTAGTCCCACCGGACCCACTAATGAGTGAAACTGTGGACTTTCTGCGAACCTGGCATCACGGACGTGATGCCGATGCGGCCGATGGTGGTGCTGGGGAGAGTCGTGGGGTTTCGCAGTTCGAGAAGAGGTTGGAGGGTTTCATGTTTACATGGAATGGCAGCTTCTCAGGTTACCCAGTGCATCATTGTGACGGGGATCGTTGTAAGTGCACTGGCAAAGAAGATGCTGCCAGAAAGATGGCCAGTTCATTTATTGGGTTATTGCTGACAACGTTGCCTGCTGTCCCTGCACCTAATAAATGGACCAAGCTGTTCCCGGCGAGTGATTTTGTTGGATTGGGTATCTTAATCAACAATTATCTCCCGATAATCTTCGACCTCGCCTTCAAACCTGTAATGTTTTCTTCAGATTTGAATCACGACGAAGCAGATCCCAGACTTGTGGAAGGGTTGTTTTTCCATGCGGTGCAGGGCAAGCGATATGAGTCTAGCAAGGAGTTCCTGCAATGCACGGATGCACAATGGTCGTGCAGGTGCTGGCTATTGGTCTCTGAGCACTTGCGTCGATTGGTGTTCTTTTGGTTGAGAAACTTGAAGGCCGATAAGCAGGTTTCGGGGAGATTTCTGATCTGTGAGCTGCTGGACAAGCGGACGAGTGTCGTTTGGGCTGTGCTTCAGAATGTGGCCGTGCAGCTGCTGGACAAGACTGGAGGGGGAAGACTTTGTATGATCTGGAAGGTTTCTGATTGCACATCATTTCGGGATTGGTGTAAGGACTGTCCACAAGAAGTTTCTGCATTGCGCCGGATTTTGCTCGCACTTTCGGGGTGGATTTATAGAAGGCATATTGCATATTGGGACGATTTTCCTTGGAGCCTCGTCCAGTTGGTCGACCCCGCCACCTCAGATGATGTCATCTCAGAAATTCAGCAACGATGGGATCTGTCAGGAAGCTGCTGTGTGCCTGCAGGCTGGGCACGTTCTCTCAAGAATCAGGGCATCGACAGCTCGGCTTTGTGCACGGAGCCGAAGTGGCAAATGCTTCTGTCAGGATTTGGAAGATTGTTGCAGATGACGATAGCCGATGTTGAATGTAAACATGCACTCTCACGACATTGGAGTGATCGTCCCTACCCAACCTTGACAGCCAAGCATATCAATGCGGAGGCCAAGGCTTCAGTGCATGAGGCTTGCGATCAGTTGAAGGCTTTGAGATTGAAGTCTGCATGCTGTGCACCCCCTGCTGCTGCCCACCAACTTGTGTCTTTCCATCAGAAGCAAATTCGAGCTAAGAGTGCATATATGTTCTTCCGTGATGATTTGTTGCAGACTGCCACCTCTTCGTTGAATCCGTGCAGCAAAGACTTTTGGTCGGATTTGCGGCGACGATGGGATGCTCTTTCAGCTGAACAAAGGGCTTTCTATGAAGAGAAGGCAGAGCAAAGCAAGCTCCTTTGCAATCAGCAGCGGCAACAACAGCGGGCTAGGTCTCGAGCCGCAACGGCAACAATTGCAGATGAGCCCGATGCTCCCCAGAATCAACAGCAAGCCCTTGCAGCACCACAAGTAGCCGTTGCCCCCAGATGTGATAGGGCCCCCACCATTGCAACTGAAAGTGAATTCTCCTTCGGGTGTTGCGGATGCTTCGCGGTGTATTCCATACAATCCGTGGGTTCTTGCTTCTGAAGCTGCTGTGACAGAAGATGTTGATGCAATGTGCAATCGAGTGGCTGCTGTCGCGAAAGCTCCAGAAGCTGCAACTTGTGATTTGGTGGATGATTGCCTGAGGGATAGTCCTGTGTCTCAGGGTCAGCTTGAGGCTTGGTGGCGAGATAGCCTGGGTCGTGGACATACTTGGGCTCAGTGCTTGAGCCAATACAATCGCGAGTCCCAGCGATTCAGTGTCCCTCCCGTAGATTCCTTGTTTCCAGAAAAGGTGGTCTATCAAGGTCATTGTGGCACATTCTGCAGGAATCGAGCTTCTCCTCGCGATGTGCTGTTCTTCGTGGGTTTGTTGCGAGCCTTTGATCAGGTTGTAGCCCAATGCGGGCAGGGCTCTGTTGCTTCTGCAAGTCAGACGGATATCCTTCTGAGGGTGTGTGTCGGTAGCCAGGAGTCTGCTGACTTGTTCCACCAGTATGTTTGGATGACTGCCTTGAGTGCACGATCAGGTGTGCACCAATCCTCTCAGATTTTCATTCTCACCGATGCGAAAGGTGCAGAGACGGAAGATGGGCTTGTGCGGGTGACTCTGAGATCAGGTCCACCTCTAGGCTCCCAGCTACCCTGGTGTTCGCAAGCTTTGCAGCATGGCCCGTTGGTGCATGAAACAGAGCAGTCCTTTGCCAAGTCATTGCTCCATGCCGCACATGATGTCGAAGGCGAGTTCGTGACCATTACGAAAATGTCCTTTCAGAATGTTGATTTGTGCAGGGTAGACGTGACCGGAGCATGCGAGGGTTGCCGAGAGATCGTGGTCAACTATTTGTTGTCAGATGCCCAGCAGCAGCCAGATCGGATTCCACCAGGGGCTGCGGCACCCGTGGCACCGGTGCTTCCTGATGCTGCCCCTGCACCTGGTTTCGACTTGCTTGCAGAAGTGTTGCACGGTCCATCTCGTGCCCGGGGTCGGGGAAGGGGGCGGGGACGTGGCCGCCACACGTCGTCTCAGCTACGTCAGGGGTTGATTGCTTCACTGCCTTTCGATCACTCTTCTGTGCAGGATGAGTTGGAATCTGAACTGCAGTCTCTCTTGCAGCAACATAATGTCAATACTGAGCTTGGCCCCGAAGCAGCAGCAGCAGAGCATGGCGATGGTACTTCTAATAGTGTGGACAGATTATTGGAGGACCCGGTCTTGTCTGCTTCCCTGCCCGAATCCTTTCGTGAATCTCTTCAGCAAGCAGTGAACATTTGTCGTGAAGCGGATGAGTGCCCCCATGCTGCCCATGCTGTTTTCAATGAGTCTGACGACGAGCAAGTCCAGGGAGAAAGCCTGGAGGAGGATGCAGCTGATGATGCATCTGACAGAGAAGCTGAGGAGACTAGGCCCGGGGATGGGGCTGGTGCCGATATGCACTCCCAGGCACCCTGGTCTCTCCTTCAGAAGTTGGTGTTGGTGCTTTTGTTGGAGAGAGTGAGAGAACTCTCCTAATTTAGTCCGATCAATACCAATTCTTTCAATAATTGTATTGTTGTTATGCAAGTCTTATCCGTGTTTCGGCCTATTCGTCCCAGGTCCTTGATATTTCGGAATTACCAGGTTTCTCAGGTTCTTGGTGGGTTTGAGGTGCTTCGGTTGATTGCGGCTTTTCGGTTCCCGACGTTGAGAGCATGTCGTGCCAGCAAGAGGTTGTGGGGTGTAGGTTGGATTTTGGCACATGAATCTTTACAGGGGCCCAAAGCGCTATAGGCATGATGCAGCATTATGGTCTAGGCTGATACAGTGATACAGGCACAGAGACTTTTGGTGCAGGTTTCTGCCGACTGCCACTGCTCCCATTATTTAATTTACATAGGTGGAATTTTGGATGGATTGTCCGGCCTAGGATTACGAGGGTCTCTGTTCCGAGGCAGACGGGCCGGAAGAACCTTCATCGTCTTCGTCGGCTCCCCGACGTCCTTGTGATCTGGCCGAGAGCACTATTGGAAACACGGCAGCAGGAAACCGCATCAAGCTGTTGGAGAGCAAGCACGGATCGATTCAGTATGAGCTTTGGGAAGTCGTGGGCGGTAGATCGGAAGTGTTGGGTCGTATTTCAACATTAGCACAAAGGGATCGTGTCGTGTACAAAGCTGTATGTTCTAGGCATAGGCAATGCCAATGCCTCATCAATTGCATGGATGCTACTAAACTTATAGAGTGGCTGTCCGTAGCTGCCGATGTATCATCATCGCGACATGCGGACTTATCCCGGGAGGTCAGACAGGCCTTGGGGATGAAAATTCGGAAGGTCTCATGAAGGATTAATAATAATCCGAGGCTAGGTGCTGCCGCAGTGATCGTGATTAAGTACATCGTAGCATCTTCCCCATTACCCGAGACAATTACGGTTCTACAGCATGGAGTAGCTGCAGAAGAAATAACTTAGGGTTTAGGGTTTCCCAAAAAACCTCATTTGGTTAACCTCTTGTTTCCTCCTAAAGAGTAGGGCGATGAAAACACATGTGTTAACCTCTTGTTTCCTCCTCAAAGCCAACGAGTANNAACCCATGTTGTTTACCTCTTGTTTCGTCAAAGCCAAGGAGTAGGGGCAACATTCGTTCATCATCCGACACAGCCACCTCTGGACAACGCCCAAAAACCCAGTTTGCTAATCTGTTGTTCCGTCCTGAAGATTATTACTATATACATGAAAAATATTTAAATATTATGTAGATCACACCAAATATAGTTAAATATAAATATAATATAATATAAATATAATATATACTATATATTATATATGTATATGATATATATATANNNTATATATACATATAAATATCATACAAATAGTATAATGTGTCATGTGTGGCCAGACTATGATCCTTGTGATATTGTCTTATATGCATAGCTGATATTATACTCTTTATATGTGTAATAAGAATATATCTGCACACATGACATGTTATATAATGTATATATCTCTTATTATTATGTACTTTCAGTATCGCCGTGCCGTTAGAATGTTTCTCAGGCCTCCGTTGTCCCGTAACAAGAATCCTGATTCCGCTTCACTTGGCTGCAGCACTATGCTTGCCTGCGATGTATGGTTCGCAAGGCCGTGGCTGTTCTGGTCGTGGCCGATTTAATTAGTTAGTCTTCAGAAGGGGCAAGGATTTCTTGTCCTGGGTTTCATTGCAGCTTCGGTCGTGGATGTCTGCGGCCGCAGCCAATCAGCACTTTACTTTAGTCCTGCAGTTGTCTGGAGCTATCCGGGCTAGGTTGCGGGGGGTATGCTTGGCTAATGATTTTATGTCCGCTGTCCTGCTGAG